ATCACAACGCCCCCTCACTCGATCGTTGGTCTTCCCCGCATGCTGCCACAGCTCCGTCCCAGCTCCACAAGACCATCCGCTAGGCTGGCAGTCAGGCGCTGTTCCCCGGCTCGCCTTCTATCGATCGCAGTTCGTCCTCGATGTTCGTCGACTGCGCGGCCGCAAGTCCGTCTCACACCCAGTGGATCCACGTCCTCGGGAACAGTACGCCACGTACCCAGCTCAAGGCTGCTGCGGTCACCAGCCAGGAGCGTCCTCGGGTCGTTGGCCCACGTGCTCAGCATATCAACTCGATGCCCGGAACCTCCAGCCCCTCCGCATACTCGCCATACGTCTCCACGATCCACACGCAGACCTCTTCGAACTCGCGCCGTAAGATCTCCATGCCGCGCAGCTTCTCCGTTTCACTTAAGCAACTATGCTCGAGGCTCCACTCGGCGAGCTGCTTCCACCCGTGGACCGTCATGCGCGTGTCGCCGACCATGGCCTGGTAGAACTCGTAGGACAGGGACGAGCTGTCGCGCGTGGCGCCCCTGTGATCGCATCGTGTCAGCATCGGGCTGACAGTGGAATGATCCCCAGCCTACTCACCGGTACAGCCCCGGATTGTCCGCGTTCAGCGTGCAGTGCAACCCAGCCGCCAGCAAAGCCGGGAAGGGATGCTCCCGTACATTGCCGCACAGATGCAACAGCTCGTTCGAGATCGGGCACAGCTCAAGGCAGATGTTCTGCTCTTTGTACTTCTCGACCAGGAGCGGGTGCTTGAGCAGCGCATACCCATGTCCGATGCGCTTGCAATTCAACAACAATGCGTCGTACAGATTGCTATTGTCGGGATTCAGCGAGCCGCCCGTGTCGAGCAAGGACTCCCCGGCATGGAACATGAAAGGGATGCTGATGTCGAGGCCCTTGCACGTCTCCGTGAAGCCGACCAGCAAGTCCGCGTAGAAGCCGATCGAGTTCGGCCGGTCTTCCGCGCCCACGAGATCGAACCCGCAGATCAGATCCGGGAACTGCAACTTGAGCTTGATGCAATCCAGGAGCTCTGCTTGCATGCGCGCAGGCGGGATACTTCGGGGCGTGCAGTAGATGATCTTCAATCCGAATGGGAACTTATCGAGCTGGCCTTGCTTCTCCAGCGAGTCGCGCTTCTTCCGGACTTCCTCGCAGATGATCGTCATCTGCGCGTTGTGGTCCAATTGGCGAGTGCCGTCGTCGGAGGGGATGGACTTGTCCATGAGCATGGGCCGCAGCTCGGCGTACATCACGCGGTCGCGGATCATGCTGTCGATCGCCTGGCCGATGTACCAGCGGTAGACGCTCTCGTAGTTCACCAAGCCTTTGAAGGCGCGGGTGCCTTGGTTGAAGCACGCCCAGGCGCCGTTGTGGGTCTGCCGTTCGTTGTACGCGTTGTGCAGCGTGACGGACATCTTCTCGCGCGCCCAGCACTCGGCATTGTCAAACCCATCTGGGTTCTCCTCGCATCGAATGTGTGCTGGGAAGCTGCCACGGAAGTCTGCCCATAGCATCCATGGCGAGCTATTGGTAGACTTGACATCAGGATTGTAGTCCGATGAAAAGCAACCCGCCTTCTTAGTCTCCTTCGGCATGACGTTGAACACTATCTCAGCCGGCCCATAGTCCTGACTACTGCATAACGCTCTGGTGGTGCGGACGTGCATGGAGTCATGCATCGCAGCACTCCCGGCATGCGGCAATAGGACCTCAGGAGGCAGCTCCGAATTGAAGTGGATGTGCAGGTGGCATCCCTTCGGCATGCGATGCGCGATCTCGAAGATCTTGCTCTGGTCGATCCTGGACTTATTAAACAGGAACTGGCCACCCATGTCGCGGGTCTCTGGGGTCGGGACGGCTTCGCTCGGCAGGTTGCCATACAGATCTCTCCTCTCGCTCTCACGGATCCGGAAGATGATGTCTTGTGCCCTGAGCTCGGCATTGGATGCCCAGGCTTGGGCATCGGCGAACCACACGTGGGCCTTCTCCATTGCTAGGAGATCGTGCCTCTTTTCAGTATACTGAGACGAGTCGGCTGCATGTTTGACGTTCTTGTCCAGCAGCGCTTTGGCATCTTCGGGGCTGGGCATTGCAGTCGGTGCACTGTCCATCTTTGCCGATTGAGGCAGTTCCGCCTTCATCGAGACTTTCCTTCGTGATAACGGGAGCGCCGGAAGACCGCACAAAAGACTCTCACTGTCCCCCTTCGCGGGTTGCACGGCTTCTTGGCCTCTTCTCCGTTTCAGCTATTGAAGATTAGCCGTTGAACGGGTCAAAACACCCCTGAGCTGTCTTTGAGGTGCAACGACGATGAAGCCATCGGACGTGCAGTGTTCTCTTGCATATGCTCAATCAATACGTACTTTGCTTTTGAGCATGCCAATGGACGCAGACGGAGGCGAATTCGGGCGGGATCCTGGAAGCAATGCGATGTGGCCGTGCTGCTTGAGCGGTACTCACCTCGCATACAAAAGGGTGAGTTCTCGCTCGGACGGTGTACACTGACTGCGTTCGTGAGTCGTGAAGACCTATGGCATCGGGCAGTGTTGTTCCAGACCCACCCTAGTCTCAGCCCTTTTCGAGGCCGCTCATCTCGTGTCTGCTGCGCGCAGAAGTGCAGTGATCACGGACTATCGGTGTCCCGTTGCGACCACGATCCACAGCAGCCGACCGCCCATGAGATGAGGCGCGAGAGGAAGGCTGATGGAAGCCTCAGTGCTTCGACACGCTGCTGCGCCCCCTCCGAGGTGGACAGGAGTGGCCTGAGACGCGCGGGTCGAGCTCCTTATCGGACTGTCTAACCAGCTGAGGCGCCTACATTGGCACGCCACAGCTTGGGGGTGAGATCGCGCCAATGCGGTCGTTGCACGACGTGGAGTCAAACGCCAAGGGATGGTGTTGCTGAAGTGCAGGTCGTGGGCCACCTTGCCCAGCCCCACTCGATGTGCCAAGAGCGAGTTCCATCTGGCCATCAATCCTTCTCCATTGCACCCAACCGTTCCCATCGCGCGCCTGGGACTATAACCTTTGGGCATAGCACCCAATGGCTCCGACAGCCCGCGAATATCGATCGCGCCGAGGCGCTGCATCGCGAGCTGCACCGCGGCAGCCAATGCATGACAGGTGACAGTCGTGGGGGCTGAAGCTGAGACAGACGCCTCCAATGCAGTACACTTTGAGGCCGCACCACCCAATTGTCTCGTCGCCCTGATTCATGGCCTGGCAGGGACGTTCCGAAGGCTTCGACCGCCTAGTCTATAGCCCTCAGAGCGGTACTCTACAGATCTCTGCCACACTCGCTTCCAAGGTAGCGGCCGACTAACTCGACCCCGTCATCCTACCACCGCCCACCGGGACAGCCAGCGACAAGACGTCTAGCCATGAGCGGCGGCGGCAACAATGCCACCATCTCCATGCCTGGGCCGGGTCGGGGCCCAGGGTGGCAGATGCTCTGGCCGGCGTCCTTTGACACCTTCCAGCTGGACATCGTGGGCTTCCTGGCCATTCTAGGAGAAGGATCGGTTGCAGCGAATGCTCAGGTGTCTGCACTATCACGCCTGTCCTTCCTCCCGAGGCTCATCCCGGCCCCGCAAGCACTCCTCTGGCCTACGCGGCCTGTGACTTTGGAGCCTACGACCAAGGCGTCTGTCACGGGAGTGGAGTCCGGTAATGTAAAGGACCATATTCACCATGTTGCCGCGATATTGCTCTCCAAGTAAGCTAGCTCATATCTAAGTCCCTAAGATCGCCGATGGCTGACAGTACGCAGAGCTGAAGCCATGTCCAACTACACGGTCCGGTGCGTCAAGATCACGAAGAGTGTGAAGCAGCCCACCCCAACGTCATGGTCGGACCGGGCATTCAGAGGGCAGCCCACAAAGTCAAGAGCCAGAGCACACACAGAGTCACCCCAAGTGACCCAGCCCTCCGTCACAGCGAAGGCATTCGGCCCGCTAGCCTGGGTCGCGCTCCTGGACACCACGCTCGCCGCCACCCTCTTCACCGCCTCCATCGTCTTCGGCGACGGCATGTCCATGCTCGCCACGATCCTCCTCTCCCTCCTCTCCACCCTGACCGGCATCAGCAACAGCTGGAGCCTCCTGCTCCCCAAGCGCCGCGCCGGCATCGTGCCCCGCGCCGACACCGTCATCCGCTACCCCAACGGCAGCTACCTGGTCGTCAAGTGCGACGAGGACGTCGCCCGCGAGCTCTTCTTCGCCCCGGAGGAGCTGGACTACTACATGAAGAGCCCCGCCGCCTACCGCCTCATCTCCCTCGTAGGGACCCTGATGCTCATGCTCGGCGTCATCTGCCTCGCCAACGCGCGGCTGGAATTGCAGTTCGCGTGGGCCGGGGCGTACATCCTGACCAATGCGGGCCACTGGATCGCGGCCGCGGTGCCGCCGCGCCTGCACTGGGATTTCTCCTGCTATCGGCTGGAGGAGCAAGGGCTGGTGGGCGGGAACAAGAACATCGCCTTCACGGAGGCGCTGTGGAAGGCCATCCTGTTGACGCGCTCGGTGGAGTGGGTCCGGAACGGCGACGCCGCGCCCAACACCAAGGTCTGGGAGGAGTGGCTGGTCGAGGCGAATGAGCTTGCGCAGCTCGCCAAGGAGTACAAGGGCCGGTTGGAGGACCAGTTCTGGCACGACGAGGGCGTGCTGTGGGGCGTGCAGGACACGTGGGACCCCAAGGATGCGTGGGATCGCATCAATCGGGCGCACCAGAGTCCGCACGGGGCCTGATCGTGTGCTCAGGGGGCGGCTGCGATTGCACAGGATTGGGGTTTTGGGCAGCGGGGTTGAGCGATGGCGCACGGGGTTACGACACGGCGATGGTGTATAGCAGTACATAGATCTATGGAAGTCAGGATCACCGGGAATGGTTCAACGTTTCGTGCCGTGAGATCCGTCCGAAAGGAAGTGAGTTGACGTCGTCCGTGCCGTCGTGTCGTCATAGGTGTGCGCGGGTACTCCCGCCCTGACGCTATGGTGGCCGAGTGGTCTAAGGCGGTAGATTTAAGTTCCTCGTGACTTTACAATCTCTATTGGGGCGACCCGCGCGCGTTCGAACCGCGTCCATAGCATATTGAAGTTGTACTCCCGGCGGGATTGCAAGGCTTCCTTTTGCATGTTTGGCAGGAGCGTGGAAGTGCTGCTCCTTCTTATCGCGTCAGTGTCCACCTGTGACTACACGTACTGGACTGATGATCCAGTCGATCCGCCTTTGGCGCCTACCAACGGCCGTCCTTGCCAGTCGCCGCGATACTGCGCTCCCTGCGTCACCCCTACTCCGCCGTATCCCTCTCGCAGCTACCGCAGCCTCTCCTTCCCCTCGACAGCAGTCTTTCATGGCCCTCATGGTTCTCGACCAAGCCCGCAGATACCATGAAGCCGCAGCGTAGCCCAGCGGCCAGCTGACCCCAGCGACTCAGCTTGACCGTTTCCGTGCGCTCGTCCAGCCGACCCTCGCCTCGTCGTACTACCCGACACAGCCGACATCTTTCCGGGGTCTCCGCCCCATCATCTTCGCAGACGCTCGGAATCTGCCGGGGTCGGGCTTGTGGCCAGCTCGATCTTGCCCTCGCCTCGCCTCGAGAGGTTCCCTGGGGCCGGCCGGACTTTTGGGTGTGAAACGTGGCGTGAACCCAGGTCGAGCTTCGTCGAGACACTGGATCCGCCGCAGATGAGGTCAACGACAGGCTATGGTCCGCCGTGTGGCAAGGGCATGGCCAAGGCGATGCTGGCGGAGTGCCAAAAGATAGCGTCGCAGGCTGTCCGACGTCACCCACGACCCCCACCCCATCTCTCGACCACTCACGCAGCCACCCAATCAGTCCTCCCTGTCACCATCCCGCTTCCGCCCCCACACCTCCTCCACACTCCCCTTCCCCCGCGTCTCGGGCACCATCCACACCGTCAGCGCCCCAAACAGCACCCCGAACCCGGCAAACAAGAAGTAGACCTGCCCCTTGCCCAGCCGCTCATTCACCAAGGGGAAGAACTGCGCCACTAAGAACGTCGCGATCCAGTTCGCGCCCAGCGCCCAGCTCTGCGCCACACCCACGACCTCGGGCGGGACGAGCTCGGAGGACAGGATGAAGGGCACGGGCCCCAACCCGACGCCGAAGGACGCCACGAACGTCAGGACCGCGATAGCGGAGAGGACAGGAATCGCGCGCATAATCCCGAAAGCCAGAACGAGACTGCTCGTCCCCATCCCCGAGATACTGAGCAAGAGGCACGTCTTCCGCCCCAGGCTGTCAATGAGTGGCGCGGCGGCGACGGTGACGACGACGTTGAGGACGCCGACGAGGACGTTCAGGATTGCGGCGTTGGCGGCCAGGAGGTCGGAGAGCAGGGAGACGCCGTACATGACGATGCTGTTGATCCCCGTCAGCTGCTGCGCGGTCATGATCATGACCACGGCGAGCACGGCGGGGCGCAGGTGCGGGTCCAGGAGGATGTTGAAGAAGTGGATCGGGTGCGGGAAGTCGGAGGGTTTGGTGGCCATGGGTGGTTTGGTGGGGAGGCTTGCGCTGCTGGATCGGGGGTGGTCGTTTGGCTCACGGTCTTGGTTGGAGAGCAGCCTCTCCTCCTCATCGTCCGCGTCTGGTGCATCCGCCGTGTTCCAGCTGGCGATCTCGCCCTCGATATCCGCGTCCTTGCCCCGCGTCGCCTGCAGCACCCGCCTCGCTTGTCCCAGCTCGCCATGCTCAGCCAGCCACCGCGGGCTCTCCTTCCCCCCCAGCATCAACCCCACGCCCTGCAACGCCCCGATCAGGCCCCCCACCCCCAACACCACCCTCCACAATTGCCCCTTACTCAGGAACAAGCCCAGCACCTGCGTAATCAGGATCCCCATGTTAATCATCACCTGCGTCGCGCTGCCGAAGAACCCCCGCTGCGCCGGCGGCGCAATCTCGGAGATGTAGATCGGCACGATCACCGTCGCGGCGCCCGCACCCAGCCCCGCGACGAAGCGGCCCACGGCGAAGAACGCGAGATCGGGCGTCAGGGCTTCCAGCGCCGGGCCCAGGGTGGCGAAGACGGAGGCCAGGAGCATGGCGCGCAGGCGGCCGGAGTGCGTCGTGATGGGTCCGCCGGCCAGGGCGCCGAGGAGGCCGCCGAGGGTGAAGATGGAGGTGATGAGGCCGAATTGGAGGGGGGTCATGGGGATGCATTGCGGGAGGTGAGGGGTGGTGGTGGTGGTAGTGGCGTGCGGGTCGGTGGGGCGGTTGGCGGCGCAGGTGATGACGGCCTGGGGCTCGTTGAGCTCGGCGAGGTGGTAGCCGAAGAGCAGGGGGCCGAGGGTGGAGGTCAGGAGGAGGTAGAGGAAGGTGGGGGTCCAGTCGCGGAAGGTGGCGGCGTTGGGCATGATGGCGATGTTTGAAGTGGTGCTAGTCGGTGCGCGTGATCTACACGATGCTGGAGTCGTCTGCTCGTTCAGTCATAGCAGCTATCTGCTTGGTGTGTTGAATGGAAAGCTTCGGGATTCGCTCGATATGTGTAGAACTATTTCGGAGATCCCCGCCGCCGCTTGCTGTCCCTATGACGAAGGATGTCACATCGCTGAGCCGTCGAGCCGTTCTGCTTTTTGCACCTCAGACACCCAGCATGCAATCAGACGATAAGGCAATCGTCTGATAAGATAGATGCATCGGTATGTATGTATGTATGGCGATGCCATCTGACACGCACGTGCTGCCCGCGTGACGCCCGCTCCATCGCCCTCGGCCCGATGCGCGCGCGACACGAAAGCCTCTCCGGCGCCGCCAGTCGGAGCGAGTCGCGATATGCTTGGCGTGGCCGAAGCTCCACCTCCACCTCACTAAGAGACTGCCCTGGCGCACTACTCGGCTCTACTGCCCGGCGCTGCGCTGGGACGATCACCCGCCGCCGCCGCCGGATCGTCTCGCCCACCGACTCCCGAAGGCTTGTTAGTGCGGCCGGCATGGCGTCGACGAGTCCTCCTTCCTTAAGTCCGGCGGGCGTGGCAGGCAGCCTGAAGACGGCGGCGGCGTCGGCGGCGAGCGTACCTGCCCCTTCTGGCGTCAAGCGCACGGCGCAGGCGGCTCTTGAAGGTGAGCTTGTCTGTGCGTTTCGTCGACGAGACCCCGGTGTCGCCGCTTCGTGGTAAGGGAAAGAGTATCGCATCCGTCTGACCTTTGGGTGAATGTTTCACGGGCTACATTGTTCACGCTTGAATCATTCTTCAGCTCGGCCTGCCCTTGTATGGTACGACGAGAGGCTATTGCCAGCACACAGCACCGGCCCTCACCGCTCACACCACCCCTCCAGAACCGCCCGAGACCCCACCCATCGCCACGATGAACGGCGCGCCCTACGTGCCCCAACGGCACATCAACGACAACTACGACATCGTCGGCTTCATCAGCTCCGGCACCTACGGCCGCGTCTACAAAGCCGTCTCCAAGCGCCACGCCACCCAGCCCACACCCCCCGTGAAGCACCCCTCCGGCCGCACCATCGACGCCTTCGCCATCAAGAAGTTCAAGCCCGACAAGGAGGGCGCCGAGCTGCAGTACACCGGCATCTCCCAGTCCGCCATCCGCGAGATGGCCCTCTGCACCGAGCTCTCCCACCCGGCCCTCATCCACCTCGTCGAGATCATCCTGGAGAGCAAGTGCATCTTCATGGTGTTCGAGTACGCCGAGCACGACCTGCTGCAGATCATCCACCACCACTCCCTGCTCCCGCGCACCCCGATCCCGGCCTCCACGCTCCGCAGCACCCTCTTCCAGCTGCTCTCCGGCCTGCTCTACCTGCACCAGAACTGGGTCGTGCACCGCGACCTGAAGCCCGCCAACATCATGCTCACCTCCGCCGGCGCGATCAAGATCGGCGACCTGGGCCTCGCCCGCCTCTTCCACAAGCCCCTGCACATGCTCTTCTCCGGCGACAAAGTCGTCGTCACGATCTGGTACCGCGCCCCGGAACTCCTCCTCGGCGCGCGCCACTACACCCCGGCCATCGACCTCTGGGCCGTGGGCTGCATCTTCGCCGAGCTCCTCTCCCTGCGGCCCATCTTCAAGGGCGAGGAGGCGAAGCAGGACTCCAAGAAGGCCGTCCCCTTCCAGCGGAACCAGATGGGCAAGATCGGCGAGGTGCTCGGCCTGCCGCGCAAGCAGGACTGGCCGCTGCTGGCCAGCATGCCCGAGTACGGCGGCCTGCAGACCGTGTCGATGCACAACCCGGGCGTCAACCGGCCGGTGGGGCTGGAGAAGTGGTACCGCGGCGTGCTGGTCAGTAACCACTACACCCCCGCCGCCGCTGCCCCTGCCGTTGGCAATGGGGAGGGGAGCTCGGCGGCCGCGGCATTGCGGGCGCCGGATGACACGGCGCTGGCATTGCTCCGCGGTCTGCTGGAGTACGACCCGCTCAAGCGGCTCACGGCCGAGCAGGCGCTCCAGCATCCGTATTTCGCCGGGACGGACAGTGCGGGGAAGCGACAGGGCGCGCCGGGGTGGGACTGCTTCGAGGGGCTGGAGACGAAGTACCCGGCGCGGAAGGTCAGCACGGAGGCGCATGAGCTGGCCACCGGGAGTCTGCCCGGCGCGAAGCGGAGCGCCTTGCCTGACGAAGGTGCCGGGAGGAAGAGGGCGAGGGAGGGGTGAGGTTGAGTTGCTACGTGGACTCCAGACGATGGGTCTGGCTCCGGATGCTGGATTCGGGCTTGTGGACAAGGATGGAGATCTTCCATGATACCGTCGCTCGCACGTGTCCAGATATTGAGACATTGACTACTTCGCCTCCGACACCGGCCACGGACACAGTAATCGACAATTGGCGGGAACGACATGCACGCCACTACTGCATCGACCGTAGGTCGGACACACCCTATCCGGAAACCCCGGCCACCCAGTGCAGCTGCAAGACAGGAGACCCAGACACCCGGTCCTTGGCCCCGACCAGTCTCCAAGCATTGCCGAGATTCGACCTCGCTCTCGCTCCGACTCGTGGCGGTACGGCCGCGAAGCACGTCTAGAACGACGCAGCCTCGGCATCCGGCTGCCCCGCCGCCTTCGGCACCATCTCAACGTACTCCCCACGACCCGACGAAGCC